TAATAATAATAATAATAATAATAATAATAATAATAATAATAATAATAATAATAATAATAATAATAATAATAATAATAATAATAATAATAATAATAATAATAATAATAATAATAATAAATAATAATAATAATAATAATAATAATAATAATAAATAATAATAATAATAATAATAATAATAATAATAATAATAATAATAATAATAATAATAATTAATAATAATAATTAATAATATAATATTAATAATCATAATAATAATAATAATAATAATAATAATAATAATAATAATAATAATAATAATAATAATAATAATAATAATAATAATAATAATAATATAATAATAATAATAATAATAATAATAATAATAATAATAATAATAATAATAATAATAATAATATAATAATAATAATAATAATGCCAATAACAACAAAAATTGAAATGAAGGCAACAAGTCAAAAATGTTCCCTTTAATTTTTTATCAATTAGATTGACCTTTGACTAGACAAATTCAAAGACCCAAATGAAAATAACTCATATGAATTTCACGATATCAGATGAAACTCTAAGACTTAGACAAAGTCAAAGACTTAGATAAAGACATATGTCTCAGATGAAGTCATATGTCTCATATAAAACTATAATGACTTAGTCCAAAGACCTAAAGGCTCAAACGAATAACTGCCTTAGACATAAACAAATGACCTATGGACCAAGGATTTAGATAAAAAATGACTTAAACTAATGCAATGTATCAAATGAAATTAACTTAACTCAGACAAATGCAAGGACTCAGACAAGATAATTGACTCAATGACTTAAGATGATCGAATAAAAATGACGATAAATTTTTTGGGTATGACATGTCTCTAGCGTCCGAAGGTCCATCTTCAAACACACATTTTTTTACAAACTCTTCATCGTAAATTGATGAACCACCTTTATTTTTTCAAAAAATTAATTCGAAGATGCATCCCCATAAATTTATTTGAATTTTTTCTTCTTCTAAAAACCTTCCAACTGACACAAGAAGGTGTGATGTGAGCAAATTTTTATTTAATATTAATAACTTTCCTGCAACTTTAAGGTTGCTTCTTCCAAACTTCTAAGCAATATAATTTTGTTACTTTTTTCTCATTAAGAAAAAAATTCAATATACCTCACTCCATTCACCCCAATTAAATACCAATATACATCATATTCACACACATAAATTGCAAGTAGGAGTGAGAATAAGCCGGGCCAAGCTAAACATGCCAAGTTTGAGTCTGACTTGTTAAAAATTTTAAAGTCTAAGTCTGACCTGTAGCGTATCATTATTTTTTTTGGCTTGAGTCTAATATTTTTGCAGGTCTGGTTGACCTACTAACCTACTTAAAAGTCCACTTCATTTAAATATTTGTAAAATAACAATTCAACAAATATTAAATAGACTAACAAATTAAAAGACCAACGGACATAAATCTTTGTTTTCTTTGACTCATTTGAGTTTACTATTAGCATAAGTTTTGTTGTATTATTTGTTTGATAGAACGTATTGAAACAATTTATGACAACAACTTATAATATTGTTCATAAGGGTTTTTCAACTTATTTTCATAATATCTTCAAGATAACTATGCTTTATTTTCATATTTTTAATTCAAAGTATAAAATACAATATGGGCAATAATAAATTTATTCATGTTTATTTAAATATGTTAGTTTGATAGGTATAAAAGACTTTTTATATGGTAGGCAGGCCAGCATTTTCATCTAAATAGGTGTTCATGCCAAACACTTTTGGATAACCTTCCCAAAGTGAATCAAACAAGGCTACAACTATTATGTACTTTCGTGGTTAATGTCTTACTTCAGTGCTTTGTGTATTGGTTGTTTTTATTCTCCCCCGGGGAGACTTCACTTTATACTTTCACTCATAGGTCTTACATTCAATGATTTGTGACTCCCTACCTTCAATCATAAAGAAGGTTTCTAACTCCCGCCGCCTCATTAGATGTAACGCTCTATTTATGAGCTTCCATAACCTGCAAGCCGCCTTTGGCATTCCGTAACGGTTAGACCAACTTTACACATCAGACATCTCCTTGGCGTTCCGACTTTATACATACACTGATCCCATGCTCGTATGACCAATCTTATATATCGATTTACGTCCTTGTATTGCTCTCATCCATCTTCCAACCCATTTTAGGAATTCCAGGGTGTACAATAGGCTTATAAAAAGTCTAAGCATTTTCTACTTAAAAAAAGTATGATCTAACCTGAATCTGTGTAGGTTAGGCTATCATAGGTCCCTATTAGTTGGCTTGCCATATTCCCATCCTTAATTGCAAGTAAAAAAAAGAAGATTTTCTCAACATGCCTAATAGTTTTTTTTGTTGATGCATTTCTAAGCATTTTGGACAATTTGAGAGAGACACCACATATTCATCAAAAACCTTGGGGTGATAGGTGTATGAGTCACCCCACTTCTAAGCAATGTGGGACTTAGGACTCACACTTGTGAGTCTATCGACTATGCTCCCCTTCAAACAGAAACTCTTTCATCCCACATGCTTGTACCGCCGTTGATACCATTGCGGGGGTCATCATGAGAGCTGGGGGATACCACTGTTGGATCATCATGAGGGGGAAACATACACGTTGGGTCAAACACTCTCCTAAAGTTCAAAGACTCACCCAAACAATGAGAGAGACATGACATACTCACCAAAAACCTTAAGATGACAGGTGTATTGAGTCATCTCACTTATAATGTGTTCAACCTCCACTTTTCTAAGCAATATAAAATTTAGAACATACACTTGCTTCTCCACAAAACTCACACTTATTTCTCCACACAACTCATAGTTATTTCTCAACACGTCTAGAGATACATCAAGGACAACACATGTCAGTTCATATATAAGCAACTGATATAATAAAATTTGTAATCAATTTAATTCAATAAAATTTAGTTACAATTGATCCAAGAATCTATAGAATAGTTTCTAATAATCAAAACATGTAAACAAAATCATTTCTTGAGTTTACGGAACACAATCTATAAGTAAACGAGCTCCAATGAAAATAAATATGAAATGAGGTGCGTATTTAATATTTATCACTAGGTAGAAGATGCTTCAAAAGCAAATATATCTGATAGTTGTGTCAACTTTAGTCATAAACTGAAGACATTTACAACAGATTGAAGGTGCCTTAAAAGCAATAAAGGAGTATTCGATTGTGTCACAACTATAATCATAAATGAAGGCATTTACAAAAGACTGAAGATGCTGCTCAAAAAGCAATATAGGAGTATCTGATTGTGTACTATAATCATAAATGAAAGGCATTTACAAGTAGCCCTTGTTTACAATTTCAAAAGATTTGAAATAAAGTTCCACCCTGCCCATGTTTTCCTATTATAAGGGCTAGAAAAGTTCAAAGCAAACATGTCCTTGCTATTTTCATTCGATACACAAAAATCAATCAATTTTGCTACAATTTCTGCACTTTCTTTTATATGTTTCATGTTATATGGGTCAGTCCATAATTTATTAACAAATTGCAACCTCCTTTGTTTTCCTACCGGAGGAACTTCCCATCTTTCATAAAGCAGTTCCCTCTCCTCTGTGGTAAGTCTGCTAACCCTCTTGGCAAGATATTCCCTTTCCTGCTTCAACGCTTTGATGCTGCATTTGACGATCAATCAACAGAAAATGTTAATAATTTAATACTATCTTCTATAATAACAATTTTGAAAGTCACTAATAAAAAACATTTGCATACCTTGCCGAAACTGAGTCTGCAGGTTCATCACCTAGAAGAGCTGGACTAGCATTCCCAAGCTCTGCCAGATGCTGTTCCAGCCAAGTCAACCTTCTAAGTTCAACTTCCATATACACCTGATCAGAAGGATCTCCTCTTAACAAAAGATAAAATTGTGTTCGGTGCACCAGAGAAATGTGGCACAAATGCCATAACATGATAATTTGATTTCTCTGCTGTGTAAATTGCATGTGCCATGATAAAGGAGATTGATCAGTTGTATCCATTTCTTCGGTTACAGACTTGTTTGCTTCAAGCTCCAAAACCTACACCGTGTAAAGGAGAAAAGTATCAAGGCTAGAAAATATTATTAACATGAATTAATTACAAATGAAATTTAATTTAAAAAAGCTTTGCCTGCAAATAGGATAAGTGCGCTAAAGTAACTCTGTCATTCCAATTTATTGCAAGTTAATGTCAGATACAAGTGGTTTTAAAGTATGTCATGTTTTTCGAAGTAGTCAATAGTAGCAACTTAAAATTACTGACGTTTGGCAGGGGAAAGTAACCTATAGAGAATGCACAACAACGCGTGGTTTAGTGCTGAAAACAAAACTAAGATGAACAAAATAAACATGGCAGTACCATAATATAATATATAGTAAATCTATCAAGTCTTGCCTGGCAAACCAAAAGTTGTTTCTGGTAATGCAATTTAGCCACCAGCTCTTTTAACTCCGTAATATAAACTCTAAAACTTCGAATGTTCTCCTCAGCAGCATTCTTGAACATTTTCTGAATTTTCTTTACATTTACTGATTTTGATTGCCGCGAAGCAGGGCTACCTTCCCGTGATACAATAGAACCACAGCTTTCATCATCTTTTCGCGGGGTATCTTTATGAAACCTTGCTGAAGTATCACCGCCAGAGGATAAAATGTTGGGAACTCTGTTCTCAATTTCACGTTCCATTGCTTTACGAGAAGAGAGAGGCGAGCAAGGAGCTCGTATTATGTGTTGCATACTGGGGCTGTTGTTTAAGCTGAAAGGAAGATTTTTCTTCTTTCTATGCTGGGTTTTACTGTCTGGAGTCTCCTCGGTACCAAAAGCAGATACCAGCTTATCTATAGATTTCTGAACATTCTCCAGCTTCCTTTCTAAAGATGAAATAGTGTTCCCTTGATTTTTCAACTGAGTGATCTTTTCCATCAGGTTGGTCTTATCTGCTTTCACGATTTCTTCTGCTGTAGAACTAGCAGCTACCAAGTCTTTTATTTCAGACAGTACTTTCGACATGGTTTCAGCTGTTTCTTGATTTCCAAGATTATGGGTTGTAAAATCCTTATGCAGAACCTCAAGTGCTCGGTTTGCATCCTCACAGAGTTGTAGCTGCCGATGTTCAAGCTTTTGAATTTCATCCACAAGTATCGATGGATCAGGACAAGCCAATAAATTTTTCAGCATTGCCTGCCTGCTTACTGTTACCCTTCTCTCTGGAGTATGGTTACCACTAGCTAATTCAGTTTCTTCAGCAAAAGAAAGACATCTGACAACTTGACTCGAGGGCCCACAATCACTTGTTCCCTGCATATAAATTTGAGTCAGAAGAATAAAATTAGGGGTTGAACTAATAATGTGTTGTGATTATTCCAAATACCTTCTGAACTTTATTTGCTCGTGTTTCAAGATCCAGTTGACTTTGTGCAATGTCTCTCTGTCGCCTCAAATCTTCCATATCCTTTTCCAACTGGAATTTTTTTCATAAAAAGCGATAATGTTGCATAAAACTTAAGAAAAGACAATTTCTTAAACTTCAAAATTCAAAAAAAAATTAGCCTTTCACAGTTTATATTTGTCTTCTAGATTAGAAGAGCAACCAAGGTGAAGCTTCTTTTTCAGGTTTTGATGATCACATTATGGCATCGGAAAGTCAAATGCTATTGCTACAGATTCCAAGACTTCCTTAAATGTAAAAAAATATGGCTTCATATAAATCATAAGGCAAGTCAATTTTCTTAAACTTAAAAATAAAAAATAAGCCTTTCACAGTTTATACTTGTCTTCTAGACTAGATGAGCTACCAAGCTGAATTTTTTTTCCAGGACTTGACAATCAGATTATGGCATTGGAAAGTCAAATGTATTGCTACAGATATGGCTTGATATAAATCGTTGAAAATAATTTGAGCTAAAAGGTAGTGTAAGAACTCCAAAAAAATATCATTATAATATCTGCCTCTAATACTGGCCAAGGTCACTAATTTCTTTCCACTCAGCATGCTCATATATTTTGCATGAAAGTTAAGACCAAGAATACCTGCTGAATTTTCAATTCCTTTTCAGCTAGCAAAGACCTTAGACATGCATGTGCAGACAGTTCAGGGTTTTTTAACTCTCCTTCAAGCCTTGCAACTTCTTTTTGCAATTCTCTAACTTGCGTCTTTTCTGAAACAATCTGTTGAAAAATAGCACCCACCTATAAGACAGGCTTCTCATAATATGATTGTTTTTTTTTTGTTTGTGAAAATTAGTATCCAGCACATTTTAATTATTTCAAACCATTCTACTAAAACATATTGCACTAGTCAATTTGAAGATGGCTACTAACTATCTGAATCCAATGGGGGCTACCATCTCTAGAACTTAAATTTAGTATCACTTGTCAATAAAATAAGATTGTTGGCTATCAACTTCTGCATACTTTAATTGAAAACGATTTTTCAGGAGAAATAACAATACACAAATAATACAGAGCTGGTCAAATTTTGCACTAGTCAATTTGAAGATGGCTACTAACTATCTGAATCCAATGGGAGCTACCATCTCTAGAACATAAATTTAGTATCACTTGTCAGTAAAATAAGAATGCCAGCTATCAACTTTTGCATACTTCGATTGAAAACATCTTTTCAGGAGAAATAACTATACACAATAATATAGGAGAGTGTAGAAAAGATTTTTCATACTAATCTATTCTCTAGTCAAATATGTCATGTTTAGGTGTTAGTCATACCATATTCACTCGGGCAGTATTAACAACTTCCTTTGCACTGGTAGCAAAAGATAGTGTATTTCTTGTTTGCTCCACATGACTTAAGGATGGACTAACGGTGCATATAATCGCTGTTCGAGCATTTCCCCCAAGTGAAGACTGCAATATCCGTGTCAGTTTTGAATCTCTATATGGTATGTGACCATGTATTCCACAACTGCAAAGCAAAAGAAAAATTCAAAAGCAGAATCTCTACATGGTATGTGATGTATTTCAGTTTTGCCTACTAAAAAGTTTTCTTGTTGCAATCAGGACTTTTTTATACTTGATGAACAATAAGAAACGGATGTTATTCTTAAATCTAGAATTGTAGGACCTTAGCTTCCTGATGACTGATGCAAGTGTTAATAAACTTCTGTTAATGTGGCTTCCTTCCTTCAATCTTGTTCCACATGTTTTTGTTTGAGATACACGTTCACTTCCAGCAAGATCCACAAAATTCTAAGAAGTCATAAAATTTTATCAATGTGACTGGCTTTGATATTTTGGGTCAAATATAGAGATATAAACATACCAAACTGGCTATGTAAGATTTTACACGGTCTGCACTTTCACGAAGGAAGCTCTCTACAGTCTGAAATATTTATACAAACAGAAATAAATACTAATTATAGCACAGAAAACAGAATGCCGTGTCTCTAACCTCTGCATTTAGCTAGAAGAGAAAAGGGAAAGTTATTATCATTTTAAAGTTGTTGAGTGAGCTTACCAGCCTGATTATTTGATGTGATCTTGAACTTTTATCATTTAAAGTAGTTTCCCCCACTTGCCTATGAGCTGCGGATACAATTTATTTTCATGAACAGCGGTAGTAAGTGCCCACAAAGTGCTATATTTTCTAGAACTCTGGTACATGGTTTATATAAAAAAGTATATCTAAATCACAAAAAATGGTGAAATATAACAGTATTATGAGAACCACATGATGACACAAGATACTGGAGAAAACTAGGATACCTGCCTATATTTCTAAAGAGAGAAGCTAAGCCAGTTTTCTACATTACCTTCACAGACGCTAATTAAATGCCTTAGATGTTGACCATCCTTGGCTACTTCTTCATTCAGCTTTTCCACAATAGTCCCTTTCTATATGCAAATGAAAAAAGAAAATTTATCAAGGAAATGTAAAGAGTCCTTTAATTAGTTTAAGTAGAAGCTTTATCTATGAATTATACCTCGGGATCATCCAATAGCCGTAGAGGACCAGAATCACGATTAAGAAGGTCTATGACAGTCTCATTATAGATTTCTAAAGCAGAGATTCTCAAAACAAAATCCCTATCCGGTGTCTGTAAGATGGAAAAAAAGGTTTATTAGTGCTCAAACTTTTACTGTCAAAACTTCCGATTAGTATTCAAATCATGAATATCATTTCCACTTCTTTTAACTTTGAACAGATAGACATGTGTTCTCACCCAGCTTCTAGTTCTAGAGGTAACTGAAATAAAATGTAGTATAAATAGTCACTCACATTGTTGATGTAATCATAGATGTCCCTAATAGCATTTTCTGTGATCCCTCTCATCGTGAATGTCTTACCACTGCTGGTCTGCCCATAAGCAAATATTGTTGCTGCAAGAAAATTGAAATTGTTGAACGGATAAGAAAAACAGTAATGGGAGAGAAACGGGAAGGGGAGAAAGAAATTCTGATATATGCTGTAGCTCCAAAAAAGTTACCGTTGATTCCTGAAAGTGCTGATAAAGCAACATCTTTAGCCCCTTCATCATACACCTTTTGAGTTGAGCATGCAGGAGCAAAAACTCTATCTGCATCAAACATTATATCACAATGAAAGCTTAACTGATTAAGTAATTCACATCCATGCTGTAACGAAGTTTTAGATTGTTAATTAATCAATCATAATAGTCGCATCATTAACTATGTTTGACTTTATTCATAATTTTAATTAAAGTTGTTCACTTAATTAGTTGTTATTTGCTGAAAGTGTTTTTACCCAGCCGTGTATACAAATTGAACTCTTAAAAAACTAGAGAAAAATAGAAACAAAACAGATACAAAGCCGTATCAGGGAAGGGAGTTTTTGGGAGTTTGGAGGGGAAGGGCTTTGAAAAATAGGAAGAATTGGGTGAAAAAAATAGAAAGATTTTGTTTTGGAGGGTTTGATTTTCTTCGTAACACCAAAAACCCCTAATTTGGAGAACTCAAAATTTATATAGAAAGAGGGTTTTGGAGGACTTAATCAATTTGTTCAAATATAATTTTTGTTGTTATAGTATTTCAAAAACTAAAAATACATTAATGATAACTGTTATGTTATCATTCTAAACAAAAAATTTTTTTCAAAAAATGTTAAAAATTTCTTTATATTTTTTAAGAAAATCATTTTCGAAAGCCCTCCCTTCCCCGTCAAACTCTCAAACATAGCCTAAAAAAATCATTATATCACTTGTCATCCGTTTTTCTAATTATTAATTACCATTTATAAAAAAAAATAAATTCATTAATTTTCCTTTATGGTTATTTCAGTTTAAAATTTTGAACAAAAAATTTCAAAACTTCAAATCTTCGGAGAAAGAAAAGTTGAACTAAGGTTAAACAACAGTCACATGCAAAGAGCAAGCTGAGTTTGATCCAATACATACCAAAAGTGTATGGTATTGCAGGTCTCTCTTGATTTGGATTCTTGAACACTATGGTTTGCTCATCCAAACAATCCCAAGCAACTAAATCATACATGGCTTGTTCCTTCCTGTTGAGTGGCCTCATCCGAACAGTGACCCTAATTTTCTCCTCCCGAATTTTGGAACCGCCTGGAGTAGCAACAATATTTCTATTCTCATCCCGAAGTCTGGAACCGCTGGGAGTAGCAGCCAGATTCCTATGCATCTTAGACGACGGTGTTGCCACTGCCGGTGATGATCCCACCATCGCCCTAAATTTCTACAGATCAATAACACATCATTAATTCTAGTAACTTTCAACACAACCTTTCCAAATATAAAACCATTGATACAAATTAGGAAACATTATATAAATAAGCAACCAACAATAATTTAAGCTTATTTCAATAAGCTACATTGCAAATAGCAAATGAACCTAATATTAAGCTGAAACCTAGCATACAATCAATCAACCAGAAACTTTTCAAATTTATCCGCTTCATCTTTTCCCTCTCAAATATTCTTGATCTTTCCTTTCCATTTACGATTTCACAAGAAAATTTCCATAAAAAGAAATTGACCCTACTACAAATTAGGAAACATTATAAATAAACAACAATGAACAATAATTCAAGCTTATCACAATAAAGGGAATGAACTTAACATTAAGCTGAAACCTAGCATGAACTGAATCTCAACAAATCAATTAATCAGAAACTTCTCAAATCAGAAATCCGCTACTTCACTAAATCGAATTGAAATCTTCATTTCATTTTACATTTCGCAAAATCTTTATCTTTCTTAAATTTTCTTGATCTTTCATTGACGATTTCACACGAACATTTCACAAGAACATTTCTATAAAAAGAAATTGATCTTTATATAGAAACTTACTAGTGAGAGAGAAGAAGGATCGGCGGTGATGTGAGTTCTTGAGGTTGATCGGAAACGGAGAAATGGCGGTAGAATTCGTCGGAAAAATGCGGAACGACGTAGTTTGGAGTAGCGAAATATGAAAGTTTTTGAATGTTGTGAGATTAGAAGAGGATAATGAAATTGTAGAGTAGAGATAGAGAAGTATAGTAACGGCTACTTCAATGGTGGCTCTGTCCGTTCAGTACGTGCGCGCTTCGGCACGGGAATCAATGCAAATGGACGTTTTAAAATGTTGGGGCCCGCCAGTTCTACTTTTGTGGGCCTACCTTCGTGGGCTTCTTCGTACGGAATGTTTGAGAATGGAGAATTTCTAAACACACTCCATATCTTTTTTAACGCACTGTGTGAAAATACAAAAATATCTTCAAATTTCAGAAATATATTTTCGGAAGTACCCTTAATTAGATTATTGATGGACAAAATCTTATATAATAGAAGAGAATTAATCGAAAATGTATTTATGAGAGAGACTTGTAGTTGTATCTCCAGAAGCATCCTAACTACAGATCTTAATTTAGTCTAAAAAATCTTAGATGTAGGGATGTCAATGAATACTCATAGGTACGGATACTAGTCTCCCGCTACCCGTCTCGTTTAGTAAATATGATACTCGTACGCACCTCATACCTATGTGGATATCCGTTAGATAGATATCCGTAGATTTTGAGATACCCGCGAGTATTTATGCATATCCATGGATATTGTTATTTAAATATATTTAAATAAATATATTTAAATAATTACTTTTTTTATCTCTTTTAAAGACAAAAAAAATTATTTTCAAATTTAACACATAATAAATAATAACAAAAATAAATCACATTCATTTTTTTATCAAAATAATAATAATAATAATAATAATAATAATAATAATAATAATAATAATAATAATAATAATAATAATAATAATAATAATAATAATAATATATTTAACAAAATAATAACAATTATAATAATAATAATTTTTTATCAAATAAATTAATATTTAAGTATATTTGCTAATTATTAACGGATATGGATACCCGCGAGTACGGATACCATCAAATTCATATTTGTACCCGTAAATAAACGGGTAATCAAATATCTGTTTATTTTACCTGTGAATACCCCTTAAGTCATCATACCCGTGTCCATGATGGGTTTTACCTGCGGATATCCATGGGTACGAGTTTTTTTTGCCATCCCTACTCAGAAGTCACGCAAAAATATTCTAGAGTTGCACTTATGGGAGAGATTCGTCGTTGTATTTTCAGAATATATTGACACAAATACGTGTGCTCATCTCTTCCTCTTCCTCACTTTCAGAGACAAATTTGAAATAAAACCTCAAAACCCCACCTACCCCCTTGTGTGAAAATATCATCAAAAATCAACAAACAACAATCAAGCATCATTTAACATCAATGTTGAAGCTTCATCAACCAAATTGAATCAGATTTTGAAGTGAAATTGTAAGTGTTTTTTGAGTTAATGTAAATGCATTTAGAAAATTGAGTTTTGGTTAGATAATTGAAATATTTTTGGTGTTTGCAAGCACATTTTAGTAAGGTTGTGTTTTTCATCGATGAATTTTTTTTTGAGTTCTTAGTAGCCTGACTTTCACCATTGATGAAGAAGAAAGTTGTAGGTAGTACCGGAGATATATTTCCGAAAATTTTCAATGTTTAAATAAAAAATCGGAGATGCATCTCCGGTATTAGACTATTTGTATTTTTTTTCCTTTTTTTGAACATGAGTCACATTGTAACGTTTGTTTCGTATTTTTATAAGAGTTATGAATGCAAGGGCATCTAGGTTGAGACACGACAAACTTGCACAACATGCTTCGGTTCAGAGGGAAAAAATTCAAGCATCACATGCTCATTCTATCTCTGGAAAAATTATGGCAGATGCGATTACAGGTTTCAATGTTCAAGTTTCACCGCTTTCTTCTTCGTCCTCCGGAAGCAGGCGAGGTTCTCCTGCTCATGCCTCACCACCTTCATCTTCACGTAGACGCATTACTTTACCAATAATATTTAAGGTGGGAGAGACATCACACTCCCAGCTGACACATGAGGCCACACAGTAGATGCCTGATGCATCCCAACCTAAGTCCCAAGCGACACATGAGGCATCACAGGCGCCCTATCCCTAAACCCAAGCAGATGAGGCTGCACCTCCAGCCATACAGTCGGTGCCTGATGCATCTCAGCCTCAATCCCAGGTGACACCCGAGGCATCACAGGCATCCTAGCCCCAACCCCAGCCAGATGCTGCATCTGCGGAACCTCAGAGTTTTGGAGGAGAGCCTTCTGATTTATCACTGCTCCCTCTATACCCAGACCATGTTGCCAGACATATCTGGGATGAAGAGGTAAAGATTGGTTTGAACTATTAATTATTGTAGTGTTTATTTTATTATCAAGTTTTGTTTGGTTGAATCATTTTTGTTAAACCATGTATACAGGAACATGATCCGCTAAAGATCATTAATCATGCGCGAAAGATCAGTCTCCTGGAAGCACCCAGTGAGCCATGGTTTCATGATATCTTATAGCTTTCAGGGTTGAAATATTTGACCCTCTATGGACATACTACCGCTAATCATGGTATGATTAACACTTTTGTTGAGAGATGGAATCATGAGACGTCATTTTTCCATCTACCACATGGTGATATGACAATCACACTAGACGATGTCGCGTGTCTGTTGCATCTTCCAGTAAGAGGAAGGTTTTTAGACCATGGGAAATGTGACAAAGAAGAGGAATTATACTTGATGGTAATGTACTTAGGAGTTACCCCACAAAGTGCTATGAAGGAGATGGACCAGACCCGTGGTACTCATGCCAAATTTAGCTATTTGCAGAAGGTGTTTAATGTAGAGAAATTGAGAGCACGGTAGGCTGATGGTGAACCCGAGCAGGTAGCCCAACACTAAGCATATGATATGATATCATACCTCTTGTATCTGGTTGGCACTGCTATTTCTGTTAATTATTATGATGGCGCTACTAACTAATGATTCTTATTTTTTCAGGCCTGGATCCTACAACACTTCCCCCACATATCCGATTGGTCACTTGATTCTGCATATACTGAAGAGAAATCATATGTCGTTGTATTTGACTCGCTCTGAGAAAACTAGGAGACATAGTCGTTCAGGGTGTATATTGGTTTTTGATGATATACACTTCCAGGCTGAAATTCTGGTACTTACAATACAAAGGTCAAGACTAATGTCTTAACACAGAAACACGATATCAGGGACAAATGTTATGATATATGTTGAAAGAAAACCCGTTGTTTATTGTGCAGAAAGATAACTTGCAAAATTTTAAATAACACAGTCAATTGTTAACCCAGTTCGATGCAACGTCACCTACTCTGGGGACTATCAAGCCAGGAAGGAAATTCACTATGATAATATTAGCTTGAAGCCTAAACAGTCCTAGTTTACAACTTCTCTCCTAGTCACTACCCTGTGCAACTTTTACATAGGAACCTCCTAAATATGAGAATCCCCTCTCACTTCTAATCACCACAATGATATACCTACAACCACAAACATAGGGACTAGACTTAGACTCAAAAGAAGACTATACTTCCAATAAACAATACTTAGTTTTACTTAAAAGCTTCAACTAAGAACAATACTCAACCCTTTGCTTAAAAGCTCATGGGCGAGAATAATAGCTTGATAAACAAGCAACAATCAGTCAACTCTATACATCAAAAGATACAAGAGTGATATATAAAGAACACAAACACTAAAGACCTAAAAGACTCCCAAAACCCTAAACATTAGGTTGCATACACAGTTTCTTTTATGTGAATGCTTGCTATTTTAGGTCATAGCAAGTCCTTATTTATAGACTCTTGCAGTATGGGATTGGACTCTTCAAAAGATCTAATATTTATGTTTAAAAAACATCGGCAAGATCTTCTCCTAAAAATAGAAACAAATCTTTTTAAATCTTCCTAAAAAGTCTCCAAGATCCTCTTTAAGAAATCCAATTAAATCTACACTTTATTCCTTAAAAATCTCCTTGACCTGTGCATAATGATGATGAATATCCAAAAGGATCCCATCAAATAAAATCAAATTTGTAAAGAGATAACCAATAGCAGCGCCTGTTGTACACAAAGCAGGATGTCACGACATTTGTCTTCGATATCTGGATGAAAATTCATAACAGATGAATTGTCATGACAGTTGATGAAGATGTCACAACATCTTGCTCAACATCAGTATAGAACCATGTTTTACCAAAATTTAGCCAATCATAACACCATGGAACTAACTGATGCGTCTGCAAGTGCACAAAAATATCGAACTAACATAAAATATTATCGAACCCACAGAGAACAATGTCAATCTATTGTAACCTATTGTCGCTTTGTAAAGCTAAGGCTAATGAATGATTGATTAAGGGGAAACTAAGACTAAAATAAAGACTAAAATAATATTAAATAAATATATAATAAAAGAGAGGTCGGAATATGGATCTCGTGTGTTTCAGGGACTTTGTAACTCGTTGGCTTTTAATTATACTAAAGATGTATTTCATAGAAAATATTAATTTAAAGACAATACCTCACACTCTCGTGGTTTTGAATAAAATCACGCTCCTTAATCGTAGGATTTTGCTCTCGCTCGCCCACTTGAATCAAGGAACGCATTTTGAAAATTAAAGAAGTTCTAATTAATCCTAAAGCGCTCTTGCTATGTTTAGGATTAATGCCTAGTTTCTGCTATCTAGTTCGACCCCCACGCTCTTGTAGTGCCGGCTCGAACTTTAGTTAATTTCCCACTCTCGTGAAAAAATCATGTTAAGTAACCTCTCACTCTCGTGACAAGGATATTTAAATTAAGTTTAAAAACAAAGACCAAAATAGAATTTTCAAATAAAGATTTAAGCCAACTTCGTTACCGAGTCCCGTCGGAGACGACGATCCTCACATATCGGACTCATAACAGTTTAACTAAACATGGAATTAAGTAAAAACGAATTAAACATAACAACTGCAATTAAAAACAACATGGTAATTAAATTTGACAAACAAAACAATAGAAATAAGAAATGCGATAAAGAGAAACCTATAAAAGAAATTGAAATAAATGAAACTGGAATTATCCTCGTAATATGCTGACACGCTTGACAATCTGTTACATAATTGAAATAAAAGAAAACATAACCTAAAACTAATGGTGTGGTAGTTCTTTAATATGAGAAACTATCACTTTTACATGGTAAACTTTTCTTCCTAAGAACTAAGAATAATAAACTGCTCTGAACAAAAAAAATGGTCGACCCCCGTAACTGTCAAGCTTTGCCCCTTAGATTCCTCGGTTACGTAACTACTTCGGGAAGAATCCGGAGTGGCCTGTTTCATGGGACGCCTGGTCTTGCAGGGAGAAAAATAGGAAAACATTTTCGTGGCTATGACGTGGGAGAGAAATATGGGCTTGCCTTATGAAGACTGTGGTGGTGGCCACATAAAGCGTGGCGGGGGCATAACTTTAGGTTATGTGACGAGGGCCACACATGCTGCGGCGGGGGCCATAAGCTAAAAATAGTTTTTTCTTCTTTTTTTATATACTTTATTCGTCTCATTTCTTGCTAGTTTCTTGTTCTTTTG